CAGAAATATCACACCCTCAAGCACTTCTAGGAGCATTGGTAAGTGTTCTCCAAAAATTTTAGTTCAAAAAATTAATTAGGAGATTTTATATTAATTTTTTAAGTGAACAGTGCACAAGTTAGGGTAGTATGTTTAAAAATGCCGGTCCCCAGGTTGATTTAAATATTTAAATTGCCGGTCTGTGAAGTGTTAACAAAGAAAAGTTGAATGACCAACAAAACAGAAGAACACATGTGCACAACCCTGGCTGATATGCATAGTTTGTGGCAGTATTCACAAATTACATTAACTATAGAGAACAATTAGCCTTATACCAAGGCAGTGAGCAGACCAGCTGCATGATGAGTGCAAACATTGCACAATATCTATCATTTACTTACATTTTGTTCTCGTATAATATTTTAAACTCTGTTTTCCTATGAACTCAACAAAAACACAACTCTGAATTTTATGAATATATACATAATTTTCTTGATAAATATTCAATGCCTGTTAAAAACAAAATTCCACAACTGTATGAAGAAACAGAGCTGACGACATATACAGAGTGTCCCAGGAGGAATGTGCCAAACTTCGGGAGGGTGTTCCTTATGTTAAAGTATGCCGATATAACCCAAAACACCTATGTCCAAAGTTGAACGGTTACGGAGATAATGGCCAGAGAAGTGTCAAACTTTGACCGGGGTTACACACTTGTTGATTACAAAATAGATATTAAAACTGGCAGGAATATGTGGATTCTGTAACGTTAATAATGTACGTAACATCAAACTAACTTGTGAGTGACATGAAGCCATAAAATTGAAGTACAAAAAACTCGCATGCCATCTCAAAGTTGTCGTTAAGAGTTCCAAGCACTGTACATGACACATGAATGGTAAGCGATGACGTAACGTGCTGACTGCGCGTTCTGATAAAGCCAACTCCATAAGCACGGATAGGATGAATCACGGCAGTCAAGGACAAACAGAGATAATTCCTCTCAGCTGATAGGTATAATCCGTGGACCCGCTAGAAGACCACACTTTTCTCGGGCCATTATCTCCGTAACCGTTCAACTTTGGACATAGGTGTTTTGGGTTATATCGGCATACTTTAACATAAGGAACACCCTCCCGAAGTTTGGCACATTCCTCCTGGGACACCCTGTATATCATGAGCAATTACCCTTCAGAAACGAGCACACTATTTTTAATTGCCAGGGTGAGGTCCCCTGGCACATTTTATGCCTGCATGTATCAAAAACACTGTCTTCTTAGACCTGACTTCTTGCAACACCATTTCAATTTAAAGCATCCTGAAAACCATCAGACCAACTAATAATGTGTTTACATTACATTTCAAAGGATTTAATGGTGCTGGAAACATTTCTGTTGTGTTATGTGTGGCAGATGGGAAATTAACACTGTTACTTTCTAGGGGGAGGGACAGTGCAGTCAGTACAGTGACTGGCTAGAGGCCGGATGACAGAGACATTGGAGTCTGAGTCCCGGTAGGGGCAAGATTTTTCTCTTCTCCACGTTCTCCAGGCCGGTCCTAGGGCCCACCCAGCGTCCTAACTAATGGGTACCGGGGGCAAAATGGTCAGGGCATGAAGCTACCACTCACCTCCAACTAGTGCTGTGGTAAAGAATATGTGGACCTATACATCCACTCCTCCATACATCTTTGTGGTGCAATGCATTAGTTAAGCACAGGGACAACTTTACTTTATCATGATACCATTCTATGGCTATGTGTTTGGAGAATGGGCTGAGGGGCATTGCCAGTATTTTGCTTGCTCACAAGAGCCCACAGCAAAAAAAAAAGGGGGAGGGAGTCAGTCAAACAACTGAAGGAAGTAATTATACTAACCTGCTTCCTCCCATGTCTTTCAAACAACCTCCATAATCCCGTAATGCAAATGCTTCTCCTTCTCCTCTTACTGAAGGAACTTCAAAACATACTCCATGATCTAAGGTGTTCATTTCCTCTTCCATTCTTCCCTATCTAATGCAGAATTTGAGTTCTCAAAACACTCTCATAGTCTTTGAATTATGGCAGATTACTCCTCCAGCAAGCTCAAGACAGGAAACATGATCTTCATCAGTCACTTCTTGCTTCATGTCCTTACCGAACTGTGAGGACGACAGGGAAGTGGTGTTCTCTGAACAAAAGCAAACTTGGTCACAACATGACATTCACTTGCACTGATTTATTAATTCTCAGGTTAATTAATAATGCCGTTATAACTGCAAATGTTATACAGTTATCACAAGAAGCCGGGGTAGCTCAGTGTAGCAGCTGGCTATGGGCTGGACAACCAAGCAGTTGGGGTTTGAGTCCTCATGGGGGCAAGAATTTTCACTTCTCCTTATTCCAAGCAGCTGAAATTAAAACCAGCTATCTCTAGAATACAAGCTTAAAGCTCTGCCACTGTGTCACACAGTTCAATGTTTAGACACTGTGATCCCATGAACATATGTATTGCACTTCTTCTCACAATAAAGTCGCTGACAAAACCATTCTGTGGCCTTGTAAGGACCCAGAAGGTACCTCTATGTTTTCATCTCCAGAGTCATATGCCAGAGGAACACAGACTGAGGGTGTTTGAGAACAGGGTGTTGAGGAGAATATTTGGACTGAAGAGGGATGAAGTGACAGGAGGTTGGAGAAAACTGCATAATGAGGGTTTTCATAACTTGTACTCTTCCTCAAGTATAATTAGAATGATCAAGTCAAGGGGGGTGAGGTGGGCAGGGCAGGTAGCACGAATGGGGGATACGAGGAATGCATGTAGGATATCATGGGAAAACCAGAAGGAAAGAGACCACTGGGAAGACCAAGGCAGAGGTGGGTGGACAATATTAAAATGGATCTTAGAGAGATAGGATTGGATGGATCTGGCTCAGGATAGGGACCAGTGGAGGGCTCTTGTGAACAGAGTAATGAACCATCGGGTTCCATAAAATGCTGGGAAATTCTTGAGTAGCTGCAGATTTGGCTTCTCCTCAAGATGGGGCCAGCTCCATTAGTGAGTAACATCCATATGCCTGTGCTGAGAGGCCCGGAACCCAGCTCATTCTTAAAAAGGGAAAAACCAGGCCACAACAGAAATGGTCCAGTGAATCACGTGTAGTCTGGTAGTATCTGACACGAACAAACTTCATGTGCTGCACCTCTGGAAACAGCATTCTAGGCAAGCACAACATAGGTCTTGTAACTTAACCAGAACAAGAAGTGCAGAATTTTTAGGTAACCTCTCGTGCAGAAAAATGGCATTTCTTAGAAGTCTTGAAGCCTTACTGCTAAATTACTGATTAACACAGTGACTACAATTTTGTAAGAATACTTGCATCTAGTCTACAAATTTGCAAGAGATTCATACAAATCTAAGAGGGTCAGGTTTAACTGATTTGGCATGGAAATAATCTATTAGTTTGTTTTAAAGTTAAATTGTACCTACAAGACAATGCAGTGTTTAGTCAAATGAAGAACAGTACTTTCCGGGATGTGATGCTGCATAGTCTGGAAGAAGTGTACCAATATTTTGGAAGGCAGAAAATTAGGCGAAGCAAGCAAGCAGAAGGTAACCTCTGCTTCTTGGGCTGAAATGTCAATAACCTTCTATCAGAACACACAGTGTTACATCTCAGAAGAGAGTAACTCTTCATACACCCAAATCTCACAATATTTACCTGTTCATTTTGTTTTTATGGGTTATCTCATCACATTACATTTGAAAGAATTATAAAAGAACTTCACTGAAGTAACAAGTTTCTTGGTAAGACGTATATTCCTTACTGCAAAAGCGATTCACCGGATACTAGATGTCAGAATAACCTACAGCGTACTTCTAGGGGACAGGATGTAGGGTTGGTGCATAATTCATGATCAACATTAACAAATTATGACATGATATATACACTGAAGTGTCAAAAGTCATGGGATAGGTACCTAGTATCATGTAGGACCCCCTCTAGCCCGGCAAAGTGCAGCAACTTCACGTGGCATTGATTCCACAAGTGGACGGAAGAGCTGTGGAGAGATGTTGAGCCATGCCATCTGGATGGCCACCCACAGCTCCCTGGTATTTGTAGGTGCAGGATTTTGGGTGCGAATGGACCTCTCCATCACGTCCCATAAATGCTCGACTGGGTGCATGTCAGGCAAACATAGTGGCCACACCATTCATCGGAACTCTCCAGAATTCTCCTCGAACCAATTCTGGACAACTCTGGCCTGATGACACGGTGCATTGTCCTGCTGGAATATCCCATCGTTGTGGGGGTACATGAAGTCCATGAAGGGCTGCAAATGGTCACCAAGCAGACCCAACTCATGCCATGTGAACACACCCCACACCACCACCAGCCTGCATCACACTCGAACCCTACCATCTGACCGAAACAACTGGTACTGTGACTCATCGGACCACTCCACATGTTGCCAATCCTCCAGGGTCCAATTAGTGACGTCACAAGCCCACGTGAGGTGCTCTGTCTGGTGTCATGGTGTTAACAGGGGCACTCTGGTTGGTCTTCTGATCCCATATCCCATGGAAGCTAAAGAAGGCTGCACTGACCTGCTGGATATGTGTCTGGTACCTCCTGCATTGGATGTGGATGTGATTTCAGCCAGTGTCGCTTGTCTGTTACCATGGACAATTCTAGCTAGACGCCGCTGCTCATGATCATTGAGCACCCATGGTCGGCCACTGCGCTGTCCACGGTGGGTGGAAATGCCTTCCACAAGGTATTCCTTGTACACATGTGCCACCATGGATCGAGGAATGTTGAATAACCACACAACTTTGGAAATGGAATGTCCCATCTGCCTGGTACCCACCATCATGCCCCGTTCAAACTCCAATAATTCATGTTGGCTTGCCACGAGCAGACTGGCCGGTGTTCAACCTGACTCGCAAGAGAACACCTCACAACTGATACTGCTCTGGGCATTCCCAAGCCGTCAAGGGACAGTGGCGCCACTTAAAAATAAATTTACATACTGCTATCCCATGACTTTTGGCACTTGAGTGTATAACCATTTGAGAGTTTATTAAATTCTTCATGTATATGCAAAATATACTATATAAAAAGTGAAGGTTCCTCTAATGATGACATAGGAAAAGTGGAAGGGAAAGTTCCACTGATTCTTAAACTTAGCATTAAATGGAAATGTGTGGTAAGCTTTGTGATTCCTTGTATACACTGGATAGGCCCCAAGTCAATATGCAAATAGTAACAAAGATAAGAACCCCTACACTAGATGGAAACTGAACTCTGGTCACCCTGACTGTAGTCAGTCACTTAACTGACTCAGCTAAAAATATAAGGATATTAAATCCAAAATTCTACATTTCTTGACTTCTATGTAACAGGCAAAAATGTTCACTGCTCCATACATGATCCATTCCCATGGATTTCCTGCAATTTTAACAGCACTGTCCATAAATTTGTCTGTCACATAAACATTTGACAGAGGCTGTTAAATGAACTATAATAAAACAAGGAAGTTTCAAGGAAGAATACTGTAAATACCACTTGTATCAAGAAGTGTTAAGTTTTGGTTTCCTGTATGCAACTAATGCACTATAATTAACAAAATTCAGCTTCACAGACACTTCATGAACCATTGTACAGACAAAATTATAAATTATTATGAACACAAAACATATTACTACATTTTAAAATAATCACCGAACGTCTCAGTTTGAGTGGTGGCACTTCGGCTTTGCACATTCAAGGTCTTGAGTTCAAATCTCAACCCAGAGAAAAACTACCCTAACTGTTTTTCAATATTCTTCTTGTCTCTCCAAACAATTGATGGGATAGTATGTCAATTACCTTCCTTCCACGTCTTTTCCAATTCAGTGTTAATTAATCACTGCTTACTCTAGTTTACATAATCAAAGCCTGAGATCGTGCCATAGTTTTGGGTGTTAGTTGCCGGCTTCGAACTGTGACGGTATGTGTAGATTGCGAGTCATACATGTCGGATTTATGGTGGACAACATGGCATTAATGTACGTTTTTTCTCAGTACTTCGTCTTCTCCTACCAACTGCTCCATATTCATTAATTATCCTATCAGTGATGCTATAAAGTCACAACAATGACAGTGTCGTTCAACAAACCGAAAAAAAGAACTCGACCCGAACTACCGAAAGTAGTGTTGCATAAACCACGAATAGAAAGTATACATTAATCAAAACAAATGACATGAATGCAAGAATGACATATACATATAATCCAATTAAATTACTCACACTGAGTGTCTGGGAAGTTTACAAATATTACGGGTGAGAAGCACTACTTGTTATTCACGTATACTACTTAGTTTAGTTTAGTTTAGTTTATTGTAAAATTCCACTGATCCAATCTAGGCTACAAATACACCTGACGGATATAGAAGCAGTCACAGACAAGTAACTAAAATACACATACACATACAAATTAGTTTAGTTTAGTTTATTGTAAAATTCCACTGATCCAATCTAGGCTACAAATACACCTGACGGATATAGAAGCAGTCACAGACAAGTAACTAAAATACACATACACATACAAATTAGTTTAGTTTAGTTTATTGTAAAATTCCACTGATCCAATCTAGGCTACAAATACACCTGATGGATATAGAAGCAGTCACAGACAAGTAACTAAAATACACATGCTATGAAAAAAACATAGGTCAGCTCAAACAATAAACCAAACTGTTTATCTTCCTACTTTAACATTAAACATAACGTCATCTTAAATTTAATATTGTAAAAATATCATCATATCAAAAGGTAGATGATAACATATTTATGCCAAATAAATCACCTATGATACATAAAATCTTAAAAATTCACATTAAAATTAGTAATTACTATTAAAAAAAATCATTCAGCAAATAAAGAGAATTCAATTGAAAGTAAATTTTTAGAGTATTTTTAAATTGATTCTTTTCATCATACAATTTTTTATGCAAGGAGGTAAGTGATTAAATACCTATACAATAAACATCATTTTTATAGATAGACAACCTTGGTTGTGAAGGGTAAAAATTATTATTACCTCTGGAGTTGATATCATATAAATCTCAATTTGTTTTAAATAAGGAGACATTATCAATTACAAAAATTAGTAATGAAAATATATACTGAGAATAAAGCGGTAATATATCTAGTTTCTTAAACAACTCCCTACAGGAATCCCTATTTCTGGAATTTATAATAATTCTTATGGCCTTTTTTTGTAGTTTAAATATATTGATACTATAAGGGGGAATTCCCCAAGAAGATTATACCACATGACATAACTGCATGAAAATAAGAATAGTAAATCATCCTTAGTGATTCATGGGATACAAAGGGTCTTAAAGATCTATAGCATAACATGTTTTGCTTAATTTAACCATAAGTCCATCAACATGATGCTTCCATGACAAGGAGCTATCAACAGTAATACCTAAAAACTGAGTATTTGTATTGTTANCAATCAAAGGCTTTCTCGAGGTCAGAAAAAATACCTCCCACAAGTTCCTTATTATTTAAGGCCTGTAAAATATCATTTAGAAGTTTAAACATTGCCTTTCCTGTTGAGAAATTGCTTCTAAACACAAACTGTTCACTAGATAATATAGCATTATTTGTTACATGTTTAGAAAGTCTTATGTATATCATCTTTTCAAAAATATAGAAAAGGAAGTTAGTAATGATATAGACCTATAATTTTTATATCCTCATTGTCGCCTTTTTTAAATAATGGCTTAACCACAGAATATTTTAATCGTGTAGGGAATGAACCAGATAAAATTGGCCTATTACAAATATAATTCAAAGGAGCGATGATGAATGGAGAACTTATTTTAAGGATTTTTACTGAAATTTCATCATATCCAAATGAATTTTTGGACTTAAGGGATTTAATATTTTTTTAATTTCCCTAGTCGTATTATCGAATATTATATTTGGAAAGGGGTTACTGAAAACTCTGTATAGATAATAAATATAATTATTAACTTCCAATTCCTCATTGTTATTGATACTGGAAATTATACTGTCTGCTGTTAATAGAAAGAAATTTTGAAAGGAATCAGATATAAGCTGTTGATTATCACTTAAAGTACCATTTATATAAACTGACTCAAACTATTTATTCTCTGACTTTTTACCTGTTACAGATTTAACAATATTCCAAGTAGTTTTCAAAAATAATCATAAATCACTTTTTAAAAACTGATAGCACAATACATCGATAATGAAGTTTCCACAAACTTAATTCTGGTAGAACACTACTCACCTATACCACTATACTCCAAAGTCTTTCTTGAATCCATGCAAATGTTACATTACAGAAGTATGGTTTACCATTCCACTATTTTCCTTTATACAAAGGAACAAAATAACATCCATGAAACCATTCCATAAATAAAATCCATGCAGACCGGGTTACACAACGCATTTATGCGACAAAATCACGGAATAATATAAACGGTAAACATGATACCGCAACATACAATGCACAAATTCTGCAGCGATTAGCTATGCCGTAATTACATGCACCGTTTACAAACCTATGCTAGAGACATCTAAACTCCGGAATTGTGAATTACTTCAACGAAATAAACGCAAATAATTGTAATTATTCATAAAAGATGTCATATAGTAGCGAGACTACAACGAACACGAGGGCCAGATGGGCATTCTCTAGGTATTTTTTATATAAGCATTCATTTTTCAAAATAAAAAATGTACCCATGAGAACATTGATCATATGCAAGTACGGGCGGGAAATATGTACTGCACGTCATAGTGCAACTTCCAAAAGCTCTGCCGGCAAGGAAGTTTACTACTATCCAACCACTGCCTCTGCCCGGATACGAACATTTTTTCAACCCTGGCTCCATGTACTACTCAGTAACTTACTTCGGTTTTACAACTGAGTGATGTGAACTATTTTAACCAATATCACCTCCAACATATTTATCAGGAGAAAGTTTAATTCAGTACTAATATTGTCACTGAATAACCAACTTACAAATACTTTGTCCACATACATCCAAAAACCCCTTACTGGAATGATGTGAGCCATTATAAACTGTATCAAACACAGAAAGCTTAATATTTATAAATATTGCGTGGGACATGTTGGGTAAACCTCAAAGAAACGCATTAAATATTTATAGTCAGCCATGTAATGTTTGTTAAAACTTGAAAAGATCAAATAACAGACTGTTTTCAGTTACTTCAAAATATTGTAAGTGAAACTCAAAACTCGTTTGTTTTTTTTATTGTTAGTGGGATGGGACTAAGTCCCTTGTACTGTGGTCACTTCTGACCTATTGTACCAGCCCCAGATGACAAGTGAGGGTGATTGTGGAGCAATTGGTGGAATGAAGATTGGCAGGGGGAAACTGAAGTACTCGGAGAGAACCTGGCCCAGCGCCACTTTGTCCACCACAAATCCCACTAGACCAGACCAGGGATTGAACCTGGGCTGCCATGGTGGGAAGCCAGCAACTAACTGTTTGAGCTATGGTGTGGCCAGAAACTCTTGTAAATACACGATAATTTATATATCATCCTGCCACAGTAATATGTATCAAAAATACACAGCACTACCACTACATTTTAAAAGGACATGCAAAGATCCATCTTCAAAATATTATAAATCATATATAACAAGCAAGAGTAATGAACTGTCCAGAGATTAGTCATATATTTAATACTTTACAAAAGAAAACACAATGTCAGCAAATCAGAGAACACTAATTAGAATATTATGTCAGAACAGCATAGGTTGGTTGGTATATTGGATCACTGCCCATCTGCCTGGTATTTGTTATATCCAAAAAAAATGTCAATTCCCTTAAACTTGTGATATACTATCAAATTATTTATCTTACTAATTGTTTCATTCAGTCTTTGGTGACTCATTGGGATGTCTGTTTCAATGGTATGTCATGTCATGTGACTGCACAATACAGATCTCCAGTAGTCACCCTCAAATAATTTATATAGAAACCTCCCTTACACATTTCAATCTAGAAGTTTAAAGGTTAGTGTAAGAGACAGCGGCCTCCGTAGTCTAGAGGTAACGTTCCCACCTCATGACTCGTGGTACGCGGGTTCAAATACCTGGCGGAGGTCGTCAAATTTTTAAGGGCGGAAAAATTCAGGGAACAAGTCCTCCAGGAGGGACTTTAAGCTGTGTGTCCCGTGTCGTAACTTTACGGCACATAAAAGAACCTCATATCCCCAAAGGGGATCACTGACCCAAATTCCAGGACGTTTCCTGCCCAACAATAGTCTCTAAGGCCTCTGATAGATGGGGGAAGCATTACAGACACCGCTAAGCAAGTGGCCGAACTCGCTTGCTCGGCGGGACTGATGGTACGCACCATTTATTGGTAGGGTAAAGAGACTGGTAGAATATCATAGAGGGAAGCACAATAGATCAAACTGGTCGCGGTGCATGGGGAAACCCACCCTCTCTAAATAACTAACTAACTACTGTAAGAGATAGACAACAATATTAAATTGCAGTATATCAGCTCAGCACTAATGCATTTAAATCTTGGCAGTTAAGAGAGTCTTTCAAGGTTTTCCTGAGTCGGAGAAAATGATAAAATGTGGCACTAATGCTTCAAAATTCATCATACACAATCATTCTCCTTGTTCATTTTTAATAATTTCTGGAATTAGTATAACATTGTAAAATAATATATTAATATTCACCAAGTAAGTGCTCCTTGAAATGTTGGAGCTATAGAAATGAATTTCCTGAGTGAGATACTCATGATTATGTCACCTGAGCTACATTATACCATTGTAACAAAAAAAAACCACATAGTTAGCTGCAATTAGAAATGAGACTATGAAAGGTCATGGGCAGACTACTACAGAGCAGGTGCTATGAATTGTAATTCAAGTAGAAGTAAAAACTGTTCACCATCAAAAAAGGTGACCAAAGGTCATCACAGAACAGATATGAGCTTTCCCTTTGTGTCATGACCAGATAGACTCTGGGGCCCATCTAGCCCTCTGTCCAGCAATTACCTGAAATCGTTCTTTGGGAGTAGCAGATCCGTATTTCACATAAGTGTCATACAGAAATACATGTTGCTCTAAAGCAGTGTTTCCCAACCTGTGGTCCGCTGACCCCTGGGGGTCCGCGGGATAGTTTATTTTCATTAAACTTTATCTTATCATGTTCCTCACACCTGGGATATTTGCAATGTATATCTCTGGCTCTTGAGGCTCATGGTTGAAGTAAAATTTAACGGGACTGTTGGTACCGTTTCTTCTTCCCTTTGTAAAGCAGAGGTGAATAACCAACGATTTGTGTAGCTTTTTCCAAGGACATTTTCTTTTGGTCAGCCCATTGCATCTCAGACCCGTGCTTCAGGGTGGACTGCTGTCCTAGTACCTGCAGTCCGACCATTCTCCCCTCCTCCCCCACCAAATCCATCCCTCTTTGGTTGGGAATAAACCTGGGACCATTGACCACGTTTCTTATTCATTTCAGTGGCAGAGCAAACAACCCGTGTTTCTTTAGTTTTTGTGCAGTGAATTTTTATATTATATAAGTGTGTTTTTCTCGGTGTAATATTCAGTTTTCTGCTTTTGTCNTCTTGCCTCTTACGAAGTCGCGCTTCTGATCGCTAGAAATGGACAATGCCATACAATTGGGGAAGATTTAATTTTGCCTGCTACAAAAACGATAAAAAGAACTTGTTTAGTGAAAAACATGCCAACGAGGTGTCTCTAATATCGTTATCTGACAATACTGTGAAAAGAAGAATCGACGAGATGGCTCAAAATGTGAAAGATATTTTGCTAGAACGGTTACGTCATAGTGAATATTTTGCGTTGCAGTTGGATGAAAGCCACGATATTTCAAATAATGCTAATTTGGTAGCTTTGGTGCGATATGAACACGAAAATAAAGTTTGTGAAGATTTTTTGTTCTGTGAATCGTTACCTCTTAATACAACTGCTGAAGCCCTTTTCAAAGTTGTCAATGACTTCATAACTACAAATACACTTCAATGGGAAAAATGTGTAGGTATCAGCACAGATGGTGCTCAGGCAATGTCGGGAATACATAATGGTTTGGTCGCACGTATCCAGAAAGTCGCACCTCTTGTTAAATGGACACATTGTTGCATACACCGCGAAGTATTAGCTGCACGCCGTATGCCCTCCAAAATGAAAATCGTTCTAGACGAGGCAGTAAAAATTGTCAATTTTATTAAAGCCCGTCCTCTTAACAGCCGATTATTTTCTGCGCTTTGTAATGAAATGGGAAGTGATCACGAACACTTATTATTGCACTCAGAAATCCGATGGCTGTCCCGGGGTAAGGTTTTGACGCGGTTGCTTGAGCTTCGAGACGAAGTAAGGTTGTTCCTCATAAACTCTAAATTTCAGTTAACACACTATTTAAATGATTTCGCATGGCTCTCCTCTCTTGCTTACTTGGCGGACATTTTTAACATCTTGAATACTCTTAACTCGAGCCTTCAAGGTACATCTGTCACCGTGTTTTCTGTGCAAGACAAGATAGAGGCAACAATCAAGAAGTTAAATTTGTGGTGCAGCCGTATCGAGAAAGGAAAATACGATTCCTTTCACATGCTGAGTGATTTCATTGATTCCAGTGAACAACCCCTTTCTAGTGATGTTGCTGAAAGTATGATTGAACATATGAGGTCATTGGCGTCTCAACTACGTCTGTATTTTCCGTTTGGTCTTGAAAATAACGACTGGATGAAAAATCCCTTTGTAGACTCTGAATTTGAACTTCCTTCTGCCGAGGAAGAGCAACTTATCGAGCTGTCCTGTGATTCGACGTTCAAATTGCTGTTTCCTTCGTTACCGTTACTGGAGTTTTGGTTCCAAGCTAGGTCTGTTTACCCTGAAATTTCCAAAAGGGCTGTAAGACATCTGTTGCCATTTGCCATTACATATCTGTGCGAGACAACATTTTCTCATCTTGTACACATGAAAAACACATATAGGAACAGACTTAACGTGGAGCCAGATCTACGTCTGAAATTATCCAGTTTTGATCCTGACTTCGAAAGTTGACGTCTGAAAAACAGCACCAGCCATCACATTAGGTGAGTGTTAAATTCATAATATCATGCCTAATTGATATGTTCATAATCTTCCGAATATCTCCATTTATAACAGTATTTTATTGTCATAAATGACACATTTAGTGTTGTAAAATTTTAAGTTACTGCTTCATTTTTATGATATGTACTCGTAAAATTTAAAAATTTCCATTTTGGGTTTTATGGGGGCCACAGTGAATTAACATTCGGTACAGGGGGTCCGCGGCATCAAAAAGTTGGGAAACACTGCTCTAAAGTAGACCTCACCTTGACGTCCCACACTGTTCACTAACTGTAACTGAGATCAAAGGCTAATGGAGCTGATAACTGCTGCCTACTGGTGACAAACTGTAAGAAAACTCAAACACATGAACCCCACAGCTTGCCGTGAAACATAATGCCGTCAAGAGGTCCATAGTTCCCTTCATTCCAAACGTTACTGACCACCAGGCATGCTGATTCATCTGCAAAATTTGTATGTGCCTCCTGGCAAGTAGCACACTGGTCACTGTGAAGTGCTGAGCCATGAACCAGTCAACAATCAAATCAAATCAAAACAAAGTTAAAAAAACTCTGTAGTTTCACACACATAGAAAGAACTTGGAAACTCTATATACTTCAAACAGGAGTACAAGTTTTCACTCCTTGTTAAACTCACATTTTATTATGTTCAAGGCCCATTTAACTGTCGCACAGTCATGCAGTTGCTCCAGAGCAGCAGGATCTTTCATAATGAAACAGGTACATCTAAAGTTCACCTTTTATTTCAATCCCAAGTTCTTTCATAACCCATTCATATTAAAATATCCTGAAAGCTTGTATGTATAACAATAATTAGGAGACAGTCTCTAAAAATATATGTTCCAGAGGCTTAGATTACTTAAATCCAGCACTGGTCATGTTATGGTGACAAAAATGAAAGATCAATATAGATTTACAAAGAAAAAAAAAACAGTTTTAGGGCAAGGAAATTGACTGCACACTATATTTGTGCATACTGAAGTCTGGTAGATATTTTATTCAAATTTCCCACTCAAAATATCCCTATTTATTAAAACTATTTTCAATCTTTCATGAAGGATAGAAGTATATTCTAATAGCTAAACTGAAATTTCATTGTGAATAGCAAATATATTTTGGAATGTGACAATGTGAAGCCTATTAGAAGATTTTTAGCATTTCAGATGAATGTTCTGCCTCTATTTTACTTGTTGAAGGTAAGCTGAGCAGACAAGTAGGAAAGGAAGCAAGCAAGAAGCAAACCTCCCCTTTTTGCTTACTTGCCCAGTTACTCTTTGATCCTGAAGAAGAAGGCAACATGTTCCTCTGATATGCTGGTAAACTTCTGCCAGACTACAGGGTGTCATATTCCAGAAGACACAGATACCACCATGAACATCTCATATATTTCATGGTGTCTGCCAGCACACTTATAAACTCAACACAGAGTGTTTTTGCAATTGAAAATGAAGCATTAATTCATGTTGGAAACCAAAAAATTGCACTTCAGCAAGAGACTGTGCCGCTGACTCATACTGTGCTCTGCCAATTGGAACCAAACCCACAGGCGGTGTCAGAGTCAGAGTCCACCACTGCCTCTGTAGAACTGGTTCTAGGCTCACTAGGTGGTGTGCTGGGTGTGCTGTGACTCATGGCAAAGTCTTGTGCTCGTTTTGATCTTCTCTTCTTAATAGGAGCAAATTTTGGAGGGGGCATCATGTGCCTGTCAACCTGAAACAGCATGAATTCAACTCATAAACTGTATAAGACAATGGTAACATGACTCAAATGTCTGGCAAATAATATAAGAATGACTTAAGTTACTATGAATGTGTTTTCTGAGGTTAACAGCAAGAATTACACTCAGAGATAAAACTGAAGTGAAGATTAGAGAGAATTACAGATAGAATATCGGACTACAGAAATAGTTGGCATGAAAATGGAATGAATGTTGGAAAATCAAGAGGTGGATTGGCCAAATGAGATTTTAATATGGATGGAATAGGCCACTAACTGTTGAAGTTGATAAAGACATATGAACATACATGTTTTAAGGTACACGGGTTGAAATACCCGGCGGAGGTCGTCGAATTTTTAAGGGCGGAAAAATTCAGGGAACAAGTCCTCCGGGAGGGACTTTAAGCTGTGTGTCCCATGTCGTAACTTTGCGGCATGTAAAAGAACCTCATATCCCCAAAGGGGATCACTGAGCCAAATTCCAGGATGTTTCCCGCCCAACAATAGCCTCTAAGGCCTCCGATAGATGGGGGAAGCATTATAGACACCGCTAAGCAAGTGGCCGAACTCGCTTGCTCGGCAGGACTGATGGTACACACCTTTTATCGGTAGGGTAAAGAGACTGGTAGAATATCATAGAGGGAAGCACAATAGATCAAACTGGTCGTGGTGCATGGGGAAACCCACCCTCTCTAAAATAACTAACTAAACTAACTACATGTTTTAAACGAATAACCTGTTAAGGTCAATTTTCATGTTGTAGGTAGTCTAAAAGTATTTTACTTTTATAACTTATGTTTGAAGATCTTGTATTCACATTCTTCATAACGTTCTCACACAAACAGCAAATCCATAAAATGGAACATGTGATGCTCTCTTTCCGTTTACATCTTAATTGGCATTTGTCTAAATAAAAGCAAGTACAATATTTCACCTTCAGTTGAAGAAGGGTACCCATTCCATGGGGATTCAGTTATGGGTAATTCTCAATACTAGGGCGGAGAAAATTTTTAACTATTATTTAATGGTTCCTGCAGATTAGAAACAATTCTTGTCACATGAAGATGGAGTCAGTGTCCAAATGTACATTTTTGTATGTGTCCTAAAAAAGAAACTGAATACCACTAATTATTTGCTTCATATCCATCCATCCATCCAGCCATCCATCCATCCATCCATCCGTCTGTCTGCCTCTCCGCCAATCCAATCATCCGCCCATCCATCCACCTATACATAGTTAATGGTGAACAAACCACCTCATATATTTCAATGAAGCACACAACACCGCAGACCTACACACACATTTTCTCAACTGTCATTTTTACGATTTTTTTACAATTTCATTAATTTAATGAAAGGGCTCTTTACTCACTGGACTATATGAAAATTACAGAATTTTATTATAGACTCACAAGTACTATCATGTCTAAATTTACCACATTACATTAGTTTAAGGCTTATTTCTTTACTTAGGAGCTGAAGGGAACTAGTATGTATATGGTATCTTCTTAGTGCTTTGACAGACTGTGAGAGTATTTACTATGAAGGACATTCCGTATATAATGCCTATTTTTTTTGTGTTAATCTGTAACGTCTGAGCTGAATGTTGGTGGTGTCGTAGTAAAGGTTGAACCTTCCCGCCAATGTACTGTTAGTGTGGTTGTCGTGCGACAGAACAGCAGTCTACCAAAATGGCATCTGACATAGAAGTGTGTACAAAACAGATGTGTTATTGAATTTCTCACTGCCAAACAAATTGCACCCATTGACATCCATCGACACTTGCTAAAGGTGTACGGAGACGATACAGTGGATGTCAGCACAGTGAGGCGGTGGGTAGTGCGTTTCAACAGTGGTGAAAGTGAAGTGCATGACAAACCAAGCCCTGGGCGTCCCTGCTCAGCTGTCACTCCTCACAATGAACAGCGTCTTGATCAGCTCATCCATACAGATCAGCAGATAATGACCAGGGAACTGTGTGCATGGCTTAATATTGACTGTAATGCATTGGAAACGATATTGGGGAAGCTGGATTATCACAAAGTTTGTTCCAGGTGGGTCCCGCGGATGCTTACACAAATCTCATCAAATGGAAGTCTGTCAGGACCTGTTGCACCAGTCTGAGGCTGAAGGTGACACGTTTCCGGACAGCATCAGCACTGGAGATCATTGTGATTGTGTCATCACTAGAGCCAGAATCCAAAAGACAGACCATGGAGTGGCAACATCCAGATTCCCCAAGAAAAAGAAGTTCAAGACACAGCCATTGGCAGGGAAAGTGATGTGCATGGTCTTTTGGGATAGGTAGGGTGTGATTTTCTTGGATTTCCTGGAGCCTGGTGAGACTGTCAATTCTGAACGCTACAAGACAACGCTGACACTAAGCTGAAAGCCCGCATTTCCTGAGTCTGGCCAAAGAAGCAGACAACCTTTTGCTTGCAACACAATAATGCTAGACCCCATACTAGTTTGGCTGGACTGTCCTACCATGTCCACCTTATAGCCCTGATTTAGCACCTTCAGACTCCCATCTCTTTGGGCCTATGAAAGATGGACTACATGGGCAACATTTTCCAGACAACAATGCTGTCATTGCAGCTGTAAGAAAGTGGTTAGCCTCTGCTGGCGCAGACTTTTATGGACATGGCATACAGGTTCTTGTTCATCGCTGGCAAAAGTGCATAACAAATAGTGGTGATTATGTGGAAAAATAACTGTAAGTAGCTGAAATCTTGCTCTATTTAACTGTGTTATTATGCTTTCTGTATCTGTTGTTTAAAAAAAAATAGGAGGAATTATATATGAAACACTCCTCATATGTGGGAATATTATTATATACTTAATACCATGTCCTGTTTCGTTCACTTCAATTCATCTTGAGACATGTATTACTTTCAGGACTTATATAGGTTTGTTGAAGTATACTGCTAAGAGTTCACCATAGGTAAAACTCATATAGCCTACTGTCCTATTTTATATTACATGACATTACATTACATTGCATTGCATTCCATGGATCCAAAGTTAGTCAAAATGACTGTAGGATGTGGAATATGTCATATAAATACAAAACATATGAACAGACCCAATGGAGTTCCCACAGAAGAGAACGGAAGAATACACAGTGACTATACACAAGGCTATTTAAAGATACATAAGTTATTTTATAGACAATAGGTATTCATCAACAGAGTAGAATGAATGTGTATTTCAGTATTGTTTCAGCGCTATTTTCATTCATAAGACCTTTGATATCAGATGGCAGGTTATTAAAAATGTTGATCCCAGCATAATATGCTCTTTTCTGAAAGCATGAGAGGTTAGCAATTGGTTTATGAAGACAGTGTGTCTTGTGTTAACACTGTGTACATCCACATTCGTCTGAAAATGTACTTCGTTATTTGTAGTTAAGTTTATTAATGAATGTATATATTCAGAAGGCAAAGTTAAGATCTGTAGTCTCTTAAATAGATCTCTACAGGAATTATGGGATTTGACACCCATCATGATGCTAACAACTTTCTTTTGCAATGTAAATAACTTGTTACTGTCAGATGAATTACCCCAGAAAATGATTCCATACTTCATTAAAGAGTGAAAATAAGCAAAAGAGACTGATTTGAGAATGACAATGTTACTAATATGTAACATGAATCTAACTGCATAACATGCTCTACTTAACTTTGGAATCAACTGATCGATATGGCTTTTCCAGTTCAAATAATTATCAATTTGCAAGCCAAAGAATTTTGTGTTTACTCCCTCTTCTATATATTTATCATTATGTCTTATGTTTAATGGATATTGTGGTGAGTTTTTTGTTACAAATTTTATTACATTTGTTTTTTTCTAGGTTCAGGGACAGCTTGTTTGCAGAAAATCATTTACTCATTTGCAAAAGAACCATGCTTGATAACACGCAGAAATCATCTAAATTTTTACCAGCAATTATAACACTAGTGTCATCTGCAAATACTGTAGGTATTGATGAGGTCCTTAGTGTAGGAGGGCGGTCATTTATATAAATTATGAAAAGCAAAGGCCCAAAAAATGACCCCTGTGGAACTCCATGTTTCATTATTCCTCAGTTTGAGTAGGTACTTTGGATTGAATTTGATGGTTTTATTTCAATTCATTGTTTTCTATCTTTTAGGTAGGATCTGAACCAACTTAACATTGTTCCTTGAAATGTAATAATTTAGTTGATAATATGTCATGATTTACACAGTCAAAAAACTTTAACAAGTAACGGACTATTCCACCAACATGCGTATACTATCTCTAGTCCTACAGATGTAAGTAAGAACAGCTGGAGATGACCTATTAAGGGTTGAAACATGTAGCGTGGGTTAAATTAATAAACATTTGTAATGCTGATGGCTGAATTTGTATAAATTAATATTATTAGTTCTACAGATCAATTAGGTCTACTGTTACCATTGTTATTATTCTCTTTCATCTTATATTTATTGTCAATTTATTATGTATGTACAGACTGACTCTTTGTTTACTTAGGTGCACATAAATACAAAGTTTCACACTGTTACTGTGTTTGTATTTGTTGATTTATAAAAAAATGTCACACACTACATGTAGGTATGTTTATGACACATCTTCACACCAAATTACACTACACGTTGCTCCAATGGTTCATTATTTATCATTCTAAAATTAAGAGCTAAAGAAAACTTTTTGCCTGGCCACTATATCCTTACATTCTATATGCATCCATGTGCGTGCACATACACACATCCACACAACACTTAACACAAGCTACATGTCCCCCCCCCCAATATATTACCAGGCATAATTTCAGGATCCTAAATTATGTGGCACTAGTATTACTCTCACCTCAAAGTTCTTCCATCAACCATGCTATTGTTAAATTGAAATGTATAATGTTGGGGAGGGCTCCAATGGCATAACTGTCATAACAAGTTTTGTGAAAAGTGGTTGCAGAGATATCATATTATGTCCTATACAATATTTACAGAAAACCTGAAGATCAGAAAATATTATTCTTGAAATATCTATTAAGTGTGCACCATCAAAGTGTTATCCAGCCCTTGCAATTGACCCACCCTCTAAATCATGTCTCTTCAATTTACAGCACACTGTCAACACTTAAGACACCAGACATGCCAGAGATAAATACAAACACGCCATTTTAATGCTACTGGTAACACCATGGATACAACTGCCAGGTCTTCTTGTCATCAGTACACTGAACATTGTTAAAAGAAAGGACACCCACTTTCACAGACATTTAGAACAGCGAAAATATTATACTTCCCTCGTTAAACAAATGCTTTATTACCTGCTGAATGTTGTCAGCTGATCCCCAAGTTTTGTGTAGTTTGTCACTGCTCTGTCCAACACCCAGAAAGTTGCTGAATGCCTCAGTTGTCCTCTTGACTCTCACATTCAAGGAGCCAATTCTCAAGAAGCCTAAGTCTTTTTCTGCAGCAAATGTACAATTACTATAAACAACTTTTCAAAACAATACAATTAAAAGTATTAACGTTTTGTTTTACTAGCGTTCATTAAAGAATGGGCAAATTATGGTCCATGGGTTTAAATAATTTTTTTTTGTCTTTTGTGACTACAGTACATTTTCTATAACACACATAAGAAAGTAATTGTTGGCAAAGAACTGTGGAGGAAATACATCTGACCATCAGTGCATACAAGTCTGAACATTTTCAAGCACAGAATTCTGACAACTCCTGATTTACAAGCATGATCAAGATTTCAAGGTCGAACTCCAGAACCATGGGTGCATACAGGAGACAACATAGGTAACATGACAGGATATTTCTATGGGACATGCTCTAAGAATTAAATATGGAATATCTTTACCATTATTATTACAATAACTCATATACAATACAAGACACAATATACTACATTAATAGCTAATAATAGTTTTTGGTATGTGTAAATGTGCTGACAATTTGTAATTATTACGGAAGGTATCAATAACAGAACAGAAACATTTGTCTGGAGATATAAAAAGAGTATGAAAAGTTCATTACCCATGGTAATATTATTTCAATTAAATCTTTGCATAAAATATTGTAATTTTATATAAATAAAACAATATCGGTTGAATAATGTACACTATTAAGTCACTCTACCTGCATGTTTTTTCCTTGCTTTGATTTCTGAAAACAAAAGAATATAAAATTCATAAGTATAATGTCACAATATAATTAAACATGAAGTACAACTATGCATTGTTATGATGAGTACTCTCCTCTGGATGCAATAGCATGTAGTCCAGAAGAAGTCTACTGATATTTTGGAGGACCATACTGCCTGCAGCTTCAGTGCTGAAGAGTAAGGAAAGCAAGAAACAAGCAAGAAGCATGTGGCATGAAGAGTGAAAATTTCAGTTGACTTTCACTGGACTACATGGTATTTCATCCCAGAGGATGGTACTCTTCATACCCATCATTGTGAAAACACAAAATCTGACAGAGGCATCGTTATATTCAAAAATTATAATCATTAAAGAAAAATTAAGGCTAGCATCAACATCACAACAATCTCATACCTTTATTCTTAAAATCAAGAACAGTTTTTAAGACTCTCAAAAGCCTGTTTCTGTGGCTGTCTTCCTATAATACCAAGTTTAAAACTTATGATAATCTTACTGAATAAAACATTTCTGAAAGGGGAAAGAAAAAAAAAAAAAAAAAAACATAACTTTGCGTTAATCCATCAAATTTATTTTGCAACATTTCACTATCAGCTTTAGCTGTTTCCCATCTTATCATATCTTCATCATGGAGGTATAATTGCTCTACTGACTCGTCTTAATGAAGATACTTGTGACCCCAAAACTATAACCCCACCAAATTTCTAACATAGCCTGCAAATTCACAATTCTGTAAAATACAGAAAACAAACAGTCATCCCAAAAGCTATTGCAAATAGCCCACTAAATTTACCTTCATATTTATACTTAGGAATGTCACAAAGCAACAGAACTCATGATACCTACTTTTTTCAAACATACCAATCAGTATGATGTGGCTAGAAAGAGCTATAAATTAATAATTATTCAATTATGCGATCCATGCTTATGCATAATTTCCAGTAAGACACAGTAAAAAAAGTTACATTTGCCAGATATATCCTCAAAGCTTGCACCATTCCCATGCTTGTAACTCTTTACAAGCAAACAACATTTCACACAACAGCTGTAGGCATGTTTACAAACTACCTCCAAACAAAAATTCACCTGTCTAGCCTCAACTGTTCATTAGTTCTGTCATTAAATCTGGAGGCTAAATATAAATTTAACGGAGAACTGACCCTCCAGGTTGGGGGAGTCTCAAGTCTGAGACAGTAAAATATGGTCATGAGTTCCACAGACTCAGAACCAAGAATGACTGTGCTGGTGAAGAACAGCTGCAATTGTAAATAGCAGACCCGTTCTCTCATCATAGAAGGCGCCCCACATCAACAAGCCTTCAATTGTCACACAGTAATAAAGATCCGGTCTTCAGCCCCAGATGGGTGCTCTATTCCAAGCCAGACTGGCTGACTGACCGTCGGTCATAACATAACTTTGACTTTTTGCAGCATATAGAACAGAGATGAGTTTGAGATGCCAGCCTGCCAAGATATGAGCTTGAAACTGAACTGAGTCGAATCTTTGGGATTGGCAGTTGCAGAATAATGGCAAGAAAGGAATTAGACTGTGACAAGAAGACTTCATGTGGGATTTTAAGTGACAGTGCGACTGATATAAATCCGTTGCCAGGGTATGACTAGTGAAGACTGATAATCCTAGTGCGTGTGTAACAGTGAACTGCAAAGTGTGTAAATCAGCAATAGCGCTGTAATTGCTTGTAGTCCCAAACAGTATGTTAACAATTAATTTGGATATGATGTCGAACTTTCATTGGTGTTCTAACAATAAAGCATATCCGTAATTTGTCTCACTTAAATTTCTCATATACAGGTGCAGTTAGAGTATACTAAAGTTGTAAACACTTGCAAAAATGATTGCAGAAGTAGCATTTACGTTGAATTCTTGATGATTGAAATACATTCTCTATAGTATGCTTAAGAAAATGAAAACTGATGAAGGATAATATTGAAGAGAACTGTCTTCTGGATCTGTAGTCTGGAGAAAGCCTGTGTTTCAGTGGAACCCTGTCACAGCTTCTTGCTAGTTTCTTGCTTTGCTTACTCTTCGGCCTTGAATATAGAGACTACATGTTCTTCCAAAATATCAGGCTTACATAGAGCTACAATCCACAAGGCCAAACTCTTCATAGTCACCATGGTGAGAACTTTAAACCTAACAAAGGACAATGTTATTAATACATCTGAATATATTCATGGGCTGAATCTTACCTTCCCCTAACCTAAAAGCATGGAACATATAGAACTTGGATTTAATTCCTATCTAGATTGACACTAAAACAAAAACAATACAAAACTACCCATAATATTTCCTTCATAGGTTATAATCCAGCATTTCAAAGTATCCTAATTCTGCCAGAGTCTTAATGCTATTTTGCAGGATAACTACAACGTGATCTTACCTCAAAATCCCATGCATCTGCTGTCTCCAAGCATGCAAAACAACATGCATCCCAAACTGGTTACAGTGGCTGTACTTTCAGCGACAAACTACAAGAGGTATGCAAGGCTCACCTACATATTAGTACTTCTACATAAAATTAAGAATTGCAATGTAAACAAGCATAAAACCAAACAATGCTGTCTTCTTGGTTGTCGAGTATAAAACTACTGAACACTTGACAGAGGTGTGACTTAGGAAGGGCTCAGGTTTTACTGTTACATGATATTAAGAAACTATTCTCTACACAACAAAACACCAAAGCATCTTAATTAGAATAAAATAAACAAGAACAGAAAATCTACTGCAATGAAGTAATCATATTTTCCAAATATGTACTTTGCAATTTTGCATATATCACTGGGCCTTTGATATTACTCTTTATGACACAAATAGAGTCCCAGTATAGATAGTACTGTGATGAGGCATTCATTTTGTCTCATTACATTTTCTTAAATAAACACTACACTAAAAATATTATATCATATATAAAATGACAAAGGAACAGAAACAAAAGATAGGAATTACAGAAATTAAATTTAGTAGAAATGTGGCAAAGCATACATTAAAACATCAAATTAGAAATACAACAATTAGAAATGAACTAAATATATTCAGTGTCAATGACAGAATTTGGAACAATTTACGTAAATATAATTACCATACTGAAAGAATGGAATCAGAATGTATTCCTAAACAATTAATGAATTATATACTTAGAGGAACAAGACCAACTGGATGTTCAGAGTAATGTTGGAAGGAAAAAACTTACTCAACAGAGGAACAGGATGGATCAGAAGGTCCAAATATTAATGCTGCTGATGATGGTCATGATGATGACTAAAATATATTTCAAACGAAAACTGCAGGTGTTAATGAGGTCTACATTTTATGTCATTAGCAATTTTTATAAACACATGGAAGTCAGGGAAAAATGGCATCCCCATCATAATTCTGCATATTAAGCTTGACAGGGAAGATTCACTTTTACTATGTTAGGCCCATGAAATGAAAACAAGTTCTTAATTTTTAACTCACTCACCGTAACTCTCACGACAATCACGATGCATGGTTTAATAAATGGTTACATAGCCAGTTTAATGATCTTGAATATTTCGGCTTTCATAATGAAAATTGTTACAACTGTTGGAACTCAGAACAGGTCTCTATCACCGGTTCTTACATCACGGAGTCCACTCACAAAGAAAAATACTTATTCCTGTTTAGAGTCCAAGGTGCTGGATAAGGCAATGGGAAGACTAAAAGAAAGATGGCTGCAACTAGAGCTAATGTAACACGCAAAGAAGCATACATATAAGTGCATTTTATTTCAACTTTGTTACAGCTGGTTGAACACAACCATAAAACAAAGACATGTTATTCATAGTACTGTCATGTAAATATTTGGTTCTGGTTAAGAAATAAAGTAATAGCAGTAATTGTTTATTTATTCCCAGTTGACAAGTACTGGGGCATGTTTTGACTAAAATGACTAAGGAATCCACTTCCAGCACTCACTTTGGTCAAAAAACATCAAATTGTCTCATTTTTTACCCTTTAAGCTCATACATTTCCATACAGAAATATTTCTTCTTTACCTTAAATATAAATAAACACTATTTTAGATCCAATTCTGGTAACAGTACTTCAGTACTTCAGAATTTCATATGAAGGCATTTTCTTTAATTTATTGTCTAAGCCATCTGGAGGCACAATACACAAAAGACACTTAACTTTAAATAAGTATTTAAGAAAGCTTAAAACACTCCGGTAAAGGTTTCAACAGTAAATTTAATTTTGATTTTGAACATGAGAAATAAACACTAAATGTTCTGTGGACAATAGTAAAAATAATTAATATTTTCATGAACAAAGTTTTAATTTTTTACCATAAATCTGAAGAACTTCAGAAGCATATGTGAACTATATAAACAAGAATTAATTAATCCACAGCCCACAAAATAACAAGCCTTACGTGTGGACACAGTGAAAGGCCAAGAGCTACCTCACAAGCTTGACTGTATAATTTCTAGGTATTTTAATAATTTTGTGCATTTAAATACAATTCTAAGACTATGAAATATGCAAGATAATAATTAATTTATTCACATTCTGGTTTTGTAGCAACACACATTAATTGCAGAAACTGTGTTGCATTACACATTAAATGGAACAAGATTATGATTATGTATGCATAATACTGGAAAGATTGATCAAATTTACTACTATGCACTGCTGCATGAGATGGAAAGGTCATCATGAATGGTGAGTGGATAAAGGTTTGGAAGGCGCCAGTTATAGTTCATTTTAATATACATGTTTTAGGAGACTGAGGGAAATCCCAAAAACCTCAGTCAAAATGCCTAGTAACCAAGCTGAGATTTGAACCAGATATCTTCCAAGTACAAATCTACTAGTATGATCATCATATCAAACTGTTAGGTTGTAATTTGAGAACATTATTATGAAATGTGGTCTCATACTTTCAGCAAAGAGCAGAAATTACAGGTATATAATTATAATGTGGCAAGAAAATATCTGGATCTAAGAAAAATGAAATAGAGA